AAAGAGTAGCTAGCAAATGTCTATTAATTTTATGGGATTAGTTGTTTACTCATTAATAATGTCGATGACGTGTTAATTGCCTCCACTGAAGGCAGTTTAGTCAACAAACCATTTTCTCATGACACTTCTGAGAATTTTTAACGACTAATAAACTCCTAACTCAAATTGGGGAAAAAAAATTATGAAACTAACATATAATTGTCTAAAAAAATTAAATGATTCCGTTAAAAATAAGCCATGAAAAGTCGTTTTGTTGAATTTAATTGTATGTTGTTGTTGTTGTTGTTGAGTTAGGGGCGACGACGATCGTGGGATCGGATGCGCCCCGGCGTACCCGTGAAGGGTGAATCGCAAAGCCAGGAAAGGCGAAATGCTAAGCCAAAACGCGAAACGTGTGACGCCAAGCACTAGAAACTAATATGCCACACGGCAAAGCTACGCACAAAGGGAGAGGCAGAAGCACATAACAGAACAGGGCAAACAAACAGCCAGAAGGGCACACAGCATGTCATAGAGCAAATACACAAGAAATCAGAGCACATACTTGCCCGGGAACTTGGCCCGCGGGAATCTTACATTGAACGCCTCCCAGAGCACCCATTGCCAAGGGTCCCGTCCATCCACCGGGGACGCCATAACATCCGGAACCGGGGCAACAAACACCTGCAAACTGGGGACCCAGATGGTAGAACTCATGAGGCGAGAAGTCGCCACTCGCCCCCACAGGAAGGGAACTTGCCCCCCACGAAAGCACTCCGGTCCGTCAGACAGCAGTAACTCGGCAATCTTCGACCAGTGACCCGGGTGGCATCACAGACGCCGGCAACACGTCCCCCAGGGCCCCAACGCGCACCCGCACCACAAGGGTACCCGCGGCCCCGGGCACACCACCAGACGACAGCAGGGAACCGGACGGCGTGCATCCTTCCGTAACGTCACCACCAGGCCACGCCCAGCACCAGAGTCCACATCATCCCTGGCAGCGGAAGCCACCACCCCCCACTGCGGAGAGTCCCCCGGCGGAGAAAGAACCGAAGGCACGTCCGAGACACAGGCACCAGCACCGGCAGGCACATGGACCTCCGCCACCACGAACCGCGGAGACATCGACGCATCCGTATCCAAACTGTCAACATCCGAAGCCCTACAGTCACTGAAGTCACCAACGTCGGCCCAGGAAGAAGACGAACGCCGGGAACGTTTGGGCACCGGCCGGATATCGTACGAGCGGTAAGTGACCCAGAAAACACGGGTACCACGAGCCGAAGGAACCGACGCCAGGACGGCAGCAGCCTCTACCACAGGGGGAACCGGGCCACACACAGCAGGAGGCTCCGCAGTCACCCCAGCACCAAGCACATCCGGGACCCGAGTCACGGACACAGGGCCAGGCGCAGCATCAGAAGACGAGGGAGAAGACAGCGACGTCACACAGGGAGCTCCAGGAAGGCCCATGGGAGCAGTTGGAACAGCAACAGGATCAGGCAGACCAACCGACGGTACCTCAAGAACCGTAGGAGGGACGGCAACAACCCGGAGGAACGGCAGGCGCCGCCGGGGAAGCTGCAGCAGCAGACGGGACGCGCACCACCTCATCAACATCACCGGAGACAGCCTCCAGAGGGAGCGGCGGGAAATCCTCGTCGCGGAACAAGTTGACAGGAGCAGCAGGGGCCTCAGAGCATCCGGCAGCCTGATGCCCCAACAGGCCACACCGGAAACAGGTACGAGGCTGCCGGGCATAATACACCCGGACGTAGTACCCCATAAGCCGGACAGAAGAAGGTATATCCGACCGCAGGCGCATCCCCAACGTGCGAATGTTTGTACGCCTCCCAGCATACCGCCCCGAGGAGAGCGTGTTCACCCGCACGCTGACAACAGTACCAAAACCCCCGAAGTAACGCCGGAGGAGGTCATCAGGGAATTCCAGGGGCGCACCATGGATACTGACATAAGTCAGGGTACCACTGCGGTCCGAAATCGCCACAGAGCCGGCATCGTCTGGCAACGGCAACGTACGCCCCTCGTACCGACGGAGGAAGTCCCGGTACTCGTCCTCCCCCACGAACTTAATAACAACCCGATGGGCCGAAACTAGCTCCACACCGTAAACAGCTTCCACCGGAACACGAAGCATGTCACACATCACCATCTCGATGGTCGGATAACCAGCCTTACAAGTAAACTCCAGGCCCACGGAGTTCACACGCTGAACAGGAGGAAGATGGCCCCCCATGTCAGAACTGCCACGTCAACGCAGCCAGGCAGGCAACAAAACTGGTAGGGCAATGACGCCCACACCACCTGGCGACCAAAACAGCAAACAACTCCAACAGCCACGGAGGGTCGAGAAACGTCCTCACTCCACGGCTGCCAACAGTCGACTCTTTAATTGTATGTATAATCACAGGATGAGTGGCGTTATCACAGGATGAGTGGCGTTGCCCAATAAAATCGCCCCTCGGGGCAAAATTTAAAAAAAAATCATAGGCTTCCTTCGTCGCTTATGTTTATTGTTTGTGATGTGTGTCTATGTATGTATTAACACGATGTACTGAACGGGGTGAGAATAGCTTGAGCTACCTCATCCCTTTGTGTGTATTTTACCTCAATAAACTTATTTCAATTTCAATTTCGTCGTTTTGTTTTTCAGATGGCGTCGAAGGTGGAGCCTCACTCACTGCGCCACGCGCTCAAGGAAGCCAATGAGCTCAAGAACACACACAAGAGAAGTATTCCTTGTAAGTTCTACCTGTTTACCTTTCGCCAGCTGGTCTCCTGTTTCTCCCCAGCCAGCTGGCATCTTGAACTCTGCCAGCTGGAGTTTCTCCCCCGAAAGCTCGTCTCCTATTCCACACCGCCATCTGGCGTCCTAGATGTAACTGTAGACTCCTAGATATAGTTCTAGCTTCCTAGAAAAAATGTAGCGTTTTAGATATAGTTGTAGCCTCCTGGATACAGCTGTAGACTCTTGATACAGCTGTAGACTCCTAAATACAGCTGTATATAGCCACCTAGACACAGTTATAGCCTCCAATTTCAACAGGTCTAACAATATTGGATCATCTCTTGCAGACGACTACAACAGAGTAGTGTTAGATGTCCTCCCAGACGTCCCAGACTCGGACTACATCAACGCCTCTTATATCGACGTAAGTCGCATAACTTCCAACCTAATGTATCGCTGTAACCTTATACTGTACGTTAGGCTATTTTAACGGCTCCTTTATCGACGTAAGTCGCATAACTTCCAGCCTAATGTATTGCTGTAACCTTATACTGTACGTTAGGCTATTTTAACGGCTCCTTTATCGACGTAAGTCGCATAACTTCCAGCCTAATGTATTGCTGTAACCTTATACTGTACGTTAGGCTATATTAACGCCTCCTATATCGACGCAAGCTCTCATAACCTCCAGTCTACTGTATTTTAGGCTACATATCAACTCTTGTATCGACGTAGTGACTCTACGTCTGACGTATGTCCCCACAGAGTCTGCTGGCGCCGAAGGCCTACATCGCGACACAGGGACCTCTAGAGAACACCATAGCCGACTTCTGGCGTCTGGTCTGGCAGCACAAGACGCGTCTCATTGTGATGCTCACCAAGACATTCGATTTTATTAAGGTAAGAAAGTATTAACGTACCTTCGTGATATTTACCGAATTTACCCGAGGGCCTCTGAAGTGGTTTCGTACGTGGAGCAATGACCCATAATAGTTTTGTTGATTGTTTTTGGTAGAAAAGCACCAAGAAGAGGGTAGACTTTAATGGTAGGTTTAACAGCAATACGTATGGAGAGTGTTTATAAGGGGTCCTAACATGGTGAGAGAGGTTAGAGAGTTGAAAGTCAGCCGACTATATGAAGGCTCGAGTACACAGCTGGCTCCTTACGGGCTATTCATGCCCGTGCCACCTCATTTGTGGTTTAATCAGCTGGCTTCAGCTGTACCTAACATAACTGCAACTTAACATTAACTGAAGTTTATTCCTAATGAAAAAACTAACAATAAGATCATGAAATTATTTGATAAAGTCAGCTTTAGTCGAGCTTATGTAGGATAACATCTCTTAGTTTACAGTTTCATTAGCAACATCAACACCATTCCTGTTGAAATCTAAGTTGGGAGACCAACACAAGAGATTGACTACTTCCCCTCCCCCATCTCCAGTCAGTGGTCGAGCCATATATTTATCTCACACATATTTTTAAGAATTCTTAATTTAGTTCTGAATAAGGTTTGTGGGTTGCCGTAAATCATGAATATGCATCTATATTACGCTGTTTATTTTCCTGTGCATGCAATGAAAAGTTATTTTCAGTTTATTTATACCAAATTTGCATTTTGAGCTGGTCATAGGAGTTACAATCCCTCTGCAGACGAAGAGTCGCAATAACGTGGCTGAAATATGTTATTATTTATTTATTTATTTATTTATTTATATATATACAAGAAGGTACATTGGGTTTGTGAGAATACATTGGATAGTATAGTATTTACATTCTTGTAAAGCCACTAGTACGCACAGCGTTTCGGGCAGGTCCTTAATCTAGCAAATCTAGCATGTTCTTAATCATGTTCTAGCATGTTCTAGGTCCTTAATCTAGCATGTTGACCAAACGGCACCTTTCCTCAGGTGATGTGTGTACAATACTGGCCAGCGATGGTTGGCTGTCCTGACCACTACGAGGGCATCAAAGTCGACCTTCTCAAGGAAGAGCAGCTGGCCAACTTCCAGATTCGCACTATGAAACTCAGCTTAGAAGGACACGTGAGGCTACCCACTACTTCTTTGTCTCTTATGCGTATCTCACGAGTATTAAAATTGTAACGTACTTGTAATCTATAGCTTCTAGTGTCATTGTTTCCCCTCGAGGAGGACTCGTTGGTGAGATTAGTAATCCAGCCTCACCATTCACAGCCTGAGGAGGAGAGAGAGGTGGTCCAGTATCACTATACAGAGTGGCCCTCACATACGCAACCCTTCATCAATGGTCTCTTAGAGTTCCGGCGGAGAGTGAAGCTCTGGACGCAAGCCAATATAACTCCAGCTGATGGCCCCACCATTGTGCACTGCAGGTACACCGGAACGTCTTAACTATATGGTAGAAACAAAACAGGGGCGTCGGATATGATGAAGACGAGGAGTCACAATAACGTGGCTGAAATATGTTGACCAAGAAACACAATAGAAAGTGAAGGGACGACGATGTTTCGGTCCGTCCTGGACCATTCTCAAGTCGATTGTAGAGATATTCTCACAATCGATTTGAGAATGGTCCAGGACGGACCGAAACGTCGTCGTCTCTTCACTTTCTAATGTGTGGTTTGGTCAAAATCGCATATGAAGATAGTTATAACCCTTCATAAGTTGACATGTCTTAACCTTCACCAGCACAGAGATAGTTACAACGAAAGGTGTACCCTACTTCTCATTTTGCCGGAATTTACCTGGATTTGATATACACTGAGAGTTTACTTTATCCCTCACATTAATTTATGACTAAAGTATACTTACTGGTTGATCACCAAACTGCTGATAGCTCAAATAACCCTCTCACGGTTAATAGACCTTGGGTCAGATTCACGAAGCAGTTACGCAAGCACTTACGAACCTGTACATCTTTTCACAATCTTTGACGACTTTGTTTACAATTATTAAACAGTTAATGAGCTCCGAAGCACCAGGAGGCTGTTTATAACAATAACAACAGTTGATTGGGGAAGTTTTCATGCTTGTAAACTATTTAATAAATGTAACCAAAGCCGCCAAAGATTGAGGAAAGGTGTACACGTTCGTAAGTGCTTGCGTAACTGCTTCGTGAATCTGACACCTTATGCCAAACAGCCAATCAAAATAATTTGTAATCCACGTGTGATTTTCTTTTGTCTTGGTGCAAATGGGTGACCGTATTGTGAGATAATTGGTTACTGAAACGGCCCGAGTACAGCCTAATGTAATGTGTTTTCTCTGGACAGTGATGGAGGTGCAAGGACCGGTGTCTACATAGCTCTTGATGCCAACTTGGAGCTGAACGAAGAAGATGGCAAGCTGGATATCTATGGCTATGTCAAAAAGATGAAGCAAGCACGTCTGGGATTGATCGAAACTGTGGTAGGTAGTTAGGCGGCGCGTTAATACAAATACTCCGGTATCAATCAATCACTGTTTATTCGATAGAATGTGTATACAACGAACATAAGAGTTGTAGAGTCTTGGGTCGATTAGAACTGCCTGTATTACCTGTAATTGGGGAAAGGATTGTAGCTTCTGTAATTAGTGCTAATTAATTTTGCTATTAAGATAATGAGATAATGGAGCGAGTATAAGGATTACTCGCTACAGAGTAATGTACAATTGTAAGGACAGGAGTTACACACATACTAATGAAGCAAAGCGTTTCGGGTAGAACATAAACATGACAAACAAGTTAACTAAAAAGTGTGAGTGGGGGAATAACACATAATACTAAAGAGAAGTGAGTCAACAAAATGAGAACGATTATGGACAATAAATAACACATGAATGCCAAAAAAAGGCAAATGCTAAAAGGATGACAGGCATAAACTATTGAAATATGGAGTATTTTGGAGTCCTAATTTTTATTAATTTTATTTTATAATTAATTTAATTATCTAACAACCCAGAGTTAAAAAAGTTAAACCAAGTACGAAAAATTTGGGTTTCGTACTTGTTTTAACTTTTTTGTTAAATAATTTTATACCAAGTACAAAATGCCATGATTTTATTATGGCATCGTATGTACTTGCTCTATAAATCCCACATTATGTTTGTAACTCATTTTCAATGTATCTTTACCCGAATAAACATCTTATCTTATCTAACAGTTAGGTTCGTTCTCAACTCACAATCGGGAATCCTGGGTTCAAGTCCCAGCTAGGCGTTACAGAAATGGTTGGGCACGTTTCCTATCATCTAATTCCTCTCTTCACGTAACAGAAAATAGGTACCAGTGAGTTAGTCAACTGTGGCGGGGTATTATCCTAGGAGGCTCAGTAGTTCGACCTTTGGGGAACTCTATATATATATGCCTAACTTGTATGTTTAAGATTGACCTCACAGATTATAACCTGTAAAAGTAATCACACCCTATGCAATATTTGTTTAATTATTATTATTATTATTGTTATTATTATTTTTATTTCTGTTATTATTTTGACCAGACCACACACTAGAAATTGAAGGGACGACGACGTTTCGGTCCGTCCTGGACCATTCTCAAGTCGATTGACAATCGACTTGAGAATGGTCCAGGACGGACCGAAACGTCGTCGTCCCTTCAATTTCTAGTGTGTGGTCTGGTCAAAATACTTCAGCCACGTTATTGTGACTCATCGCCTGCATCTGTTATTATTATTAAATAAAGTTTGAGTGCTTTAAAACTTGTCAAAAACGCAATTTACGTGTAGTGACTTTTCGAGAATGCTTCAATGACACACGAATATTGTTACAAAACCCCTCATGTTTATTTTGTTAATAAATATATAAATAATTGAATCCTTGAACTCCAATAGGCAACCAACGATCCCTGAAACCTGTGTATAAGTATGCTCCCTAGCCCGCTCCCTTCAGTTTGTTATTGTCCCTTCGGAGTAGGCCGCCGGAGGCTCCGTGCTGTACCTACCCCACTCCCCACAACAACAACAGAGGTTATTCTGGTAAATAATAACATACATAGGCAATTTCAAATATTAAAAGGTAAACATAATGTAATTATTATTATTATTGATCAAATCAGTAGTAGGTATGAGAAGGATTTGAACTTATGTTCAGGGTATTCTCAAATCAATGCCTAAAACCACACCACAACATGGTCAAAAGCATTGTAACCTGGGATTTTATAATAATAATAATAAATTTATTTAGGTAAGGTACATACATACAATAAATTTTTACAGAGATTGGTTGACTTATAGGTAGAGCTAGTACATACAATGCCTAAAGCCACTATTACGCAAAGCGTTTCGGGCATGTCGTGGCATTCGTGGCATTTCGGGCATTTTGACCATGTCGTGGTGTAGTGGTCTTTGAAAGCAGAATATTTGCCCGAAACGCTATGCGTTCTAGTGGCTTTAGGTATTGTATGTACTACCTCTATCTTTAAATCAAACAGAATGTTTGTACTGTAACTCTGCAACTATGTATGTACTTTTCCTAAATAAATTATTATTATTATTATTATTATTATTATTAATATGGGTTTGATTTTAATTACTGTATAACTCTTACTGATTTTCTCATTGATGCATCACGTTAATGTGATTTTTGTGTGTACAGTATTATTATTATTATTATTATTATTATTATTATTATTATTATTATTATTATTATTATTATTATTATTATTATTATTATTATTATTATTATTGTAAAACCAATAATGTATACAGATTTGCTTATCTATAATAATATAGGTAAACAGTTTCATAATTCATTTTGTTGGGGGACAGGCAGCCAGTTTATATATATAAATATATATATATTAATATTATACACACATACATGTTATGCTTATATTGAGGTCTCCCAAGGTCGAACTACTGACCATCCCAAGAATGTAACTCCACAACAAGCTGACTAACTCCTGGGTACCTGTTTACTGCATTAGGTAAAAGGAAATACGCCCAACCACTTCTTTCCTACCCGGGATTCAAACGCCGAATTCCTGATTGCGAGTCGAGAATGAACCTGACTGTACCACAATATATACTCTATAGGAAAACCAATCAATATACAGTAGATTATTTCATAGATACCCTGTATAGGTAATCTTATAGATCATATGTTGTAGATGGTTTTCTGTTGCTGGGAAAAGTAAGTCTCTTGGCTTATCAAGATCCTACGAACCAAAGGGGGGGGCTGTATGTGTGATCACCCGACTAGTTACTAGCCACAGCTGATGATATATATAATAGATTTGCCAAGTGGCTTGTTTTACAAACTTCAAGGGACTCTTTAAGATTAAAGTATTTCATAATGTTTTGTACATTGAGAGACTGTCTCGTCTCTGTCTCGTCTCATAGACTGTCTCTGTCTATGTCTAGTTTGATGGTTCGTTCCTTTGGTAAATAGCTTACCTTACAGTACCACTTTGAGATCTCTTACATTTTCTCCACGGTGCCATTTCTATATATAATCTTGTTATATATAGAATGTATCTTGCGACCTTGCCTCCAATGTGTAGTAATATTTACTGTATAAGTATACTGTATATCACTAGGAAAAAGAAGACTTTTACAGCTTATGGCAAACTATCATTTTCTACTGATCCTATATTTTTTAAACCTAAAAATTGCATTTGTAAATTTCAGCTGTAAAATTATGATTAGCTCTTGTATATAATATCTGTATCTTGCCTTTATAAAAATGCACTGACTATACAAGAAATAAATTCCTTACACAGCACTAAATATTTTTTTGGCATGGAAAAGTAAACATTTCTTATGTGGTGTTTTGTTTGGGTTTATGGGATATACTGTATCTAAAGGTTCTTCAGAAAGTTTTATGTCAGTGATTGTATAAAGTATACTGTGTATGTAATATTCAGGTGACAATTATAATCATTTTTAGCTCCCTAATACACCATTTAAAATCTAAACATAATTATAAGTAAATTTCATATACTGTATCAATTTCAATATGTGACAAGCATTTCTACTCCATATTATCTAAATTTAATTTTGTCGTGCAACAGGATCAATATCGGTTTGTTTATGATGCCCTGGAGGAGTTCTTACTCTGTGGTTACTCGTTCTTCCCTGTGAATGAGCTATCTCAGCGACTCAAACACAAATCAATGAAGGTGAATGGCAACAAGAGCGAATATCAAATAGAATTTGAGGTAAGTGTCTTTGATTTTAATTCCTATTACTACTGGTATTCTCTTTACTGGTACTCGTCTTTATAATGTCTTGGTTTGCTCTCACATGATTTTCATTGCTCCTAGTTTGGCTTCCATTTTAATTATTTTATTGATAACAAAAAGAAGTTAGTAAAACTTTTGTTCCTGTAATTAATATTATTAACTGTAGGTAAAACAAATCTTAATTTTAGTGAAATTGTGTGTTTGTATTAGTACATTTCTCCCACTCTCCAGTTTCATGATACACTTACTCGCATACCTATGCCCGTGCGAAACACAACACTTTCTTCCATGCCATTCCTTTATCCTGATTCTCCTTCCATCCTTTTCTCTCTCCATGCTATTTACTATTTTATGTTATACATTTTCTTTGGCATCCTACTTTCATTTGTTTTCTACACGTTTCTTTGATCTTCCTTTCAAACGCAGTCTTCATTTCCCCACAAATTGTTCATTTTATTCTCTTAATTTTTCTTCTTCCAATCCATGTACTTTGTCAGTGACTCATTGAAGCTTCATACACGCACTCTCTCAGTTATTTATCACTCATGTTTCACCCTCAGATATCAGATTAAACTAATTTATGTCTTCAAATATTTTCTTGTCATTTTATAGAGCTATTATATGTGTGCCCTTCAAAACTCTCTTTGGCATATCTAAATTCTTTTTTCCCCTTCCTCTCGGAGAACCCTGGATTCTTCACAGCCTCCACCTGCATATTAATTTAGGGATACATTCTCTCTTATTTGTTTCCATTTTCTTTCATTTTGTTTTATTTCAATAATTTGTTTATAATTTATTTATTTCTACCCCTTCATCATTTACATGATGCCAAATGTACCTATGTACTGTATATCATTATGCTTTAAACATGTATTACTGTAGTTATAAATCATTTTCTTTCCCTGAACATATTTTTCAGTCTGCATCCTGTGTCATTTATTCCTGGAAAACCACATAACACCCACTTTGTCACTGTCAGGTACCATTCCCACTTTATTGTGTGTCACCATTACACCTGTAATATCATATATAGAACATATTCAATTACCACAGCCGCCACCTGTATTAAGCTTGAACTTCTTCACACACATTGAGCTCTTTTGAACTGCACCATATGTCATTCATTCCCTCATTTCACTTTTCATTTAATAGGCATTTGTTTAAAATCAAAGGAATAAAGAAAATAAAAAAAAGGAAATGTGTACAATCTATTTAACAAAAATATTAGTTAAACATTATGCTACACATACTTTTAGTAATAGTTGTTTTCTGTACTGTTCATTATATCATGCTTTGTAACATGAATATTGTGCCCTGTGTAATTTGCTTCTTATTTTTTTTTTTTTACAAGCTTCTGTACTGGTTGAGGAATTATTGGTAACTGTGGTGCCTAGCTGTGCCATGCCTTTGCTTCTAGTTATTTTGGTGCTGATATTAGTATATGTTTAGATCACACCGGGACATGTTATCGGTGCCTGTGATCATGCTGCCAGCGATATGTTACAGAGTAGTGATGTGGCACGTTTTTGCTCTCGTAGTAGTAGTAGTGTGTGGCTTTCTTGTGAGTGTACTGTCTGCTCAGGGAATTGTGCACTCATTGTATTTCTACACAGATGATGAAGTGGTGCTGGCACATGTTACAGTACATTGTAGGTGCACATGTGCATAGTACCCCACACATTTTTGCTGTACTTGCTCAATAGTCCATTTACTGGTCACACATGTAAAAAAAAAGAAAAGAAATGTACTGTTCATGCAGATGCCTTCACACAACTTGTACAGCTCTTCTTACATATTGCAGTGTGCTGTTTTCAGGTGGGGGTTGTGTACTAAGTGTACACATTATAGTGATAGCCAAATCTTTTTATATCATACTGGTTATGTTATAAATATGGTTAGAATTCATTATCTATTACAGTAATGTGACATCACATATTGAAAAAGTTACATTTGCTAAATATAGTAGTGCAAGGCAGTTATGTCTCATATTAGTGCAGCCATTTGCTTTCAACTAATATACTGAACATGAATTATTTGTTTATCAAGGTGCTCCCTTCTTCTCTTTGAAATTGTATTTAAAATAGTCAGAGAAGAAATAATACCTTTGACATGTTCTTAATGCATGCTAGGATTTCTTTCCTAAAAAATAGTTTTTATTCTTTTAATAACAAAGTGAGTTGTATGTTAGGTATTTATATACTGTATATAGTAAGTATAATACTACATACTGTACAGTATGTTTATAAGAATTTTTTCCCCTACAAATGTATCTTTAACAAGTATTTGGATGAATATGTGGATTATGTTATGCATAAAGTGTGACCTCAATTATCTGGACCAATTAATACCTCCAGATGTCCGTATAAATGAAAATCGGGATTGAATAAAAAAATTGTCAAACAATTTTACGGCAATTCCTCATGGTTTGGTATATATATCTTATCAGGCATGTGTGCTTAAAATACTTTCAACTGTTTTAATAGGAATGCATGAGTATATATTTGTAGAAAACCAATTCAATTTTAACGTTCAAGTATTTAATATAAACAAGTGTCCTCCACCGATAAATTGTGTCGACACTTCACAAATAATGGGATTAACTCTCGTTCACTGGGCATACTCTGGTTAATAGGGATGGAGAATTGGGACTATCTTTATCAGCATTACCTATAAACTTGGAAAATGGGGAATCTAGATAATGGAGGCTGCACTATTTTCACAAATTTAAACTATACACACATACTCTCTTGAGGGTACTTTTAATATGTAATAAAACTTAAGATCATTAGGTGTATTATACTATTTTTGTTTATCTATTAGTCTCTATATTTATGATGCCATGTTTGCTTTGGGAAATCTCTTTGCTTGAGAAAGTAGACTTGTGCAGAACCTCCTTCATCACACTTTGATGCTTTTAAATGTTGGTCATTTTTTGAATGAAGAATTAAATGTTTATCAAAGAATTATACATGTTTGTTTAGATATCATACAAGGGAGCAGTCATCATCTGTTTTCACTGTGAGACAAAAATGAGTGACAAAACTGGAGATTAATGAAGCAAACACACAAAAGTGAAAAGTTTGAAGGAACGTAAAAAAAAAGAAAGATGAGCAAGGTACAAGTAACATACATAAAGTCAAAGAAATGGCAATAGGATTCGGTGCATGGCAATATGAACATAGAGGAAATGGGTGAAGCCTTCACACAACATTGTACTGTTAGTAGTTGAAGAGAGCGACAATCAGTGACGGTAATTAGCAGCTTTATAAATTCTACAATACTAAATGCATACACAAACCATGTGGGGGGGGGGGGTTCACATGCACTGTACACTATAAATAATTTTCATATTTGATTTGGGTAAGGAGTATCCATTGCATCTTTAAGATATTTTAAGACCAAGAGCAACCAGTCGTGTCTTCGTAATGTAAATACCGTAATATTCATATGAGAAGAATTTGTGAAGCAAGTTTGTGCAAGAATGTGGAAAGCATATAATTAATATGATTGCAAAATTAATGACTGAACTAAATTCAGACAATTTTGATCATTTTAACAGGTATTTTGTGTTAGATGAATAAATCTGGAACTGAATCAATTTAAAGTGGCAAAAGTTCTCAAAGAAGGAAAGCTCAATGTGGTCGGTTTATGTGGGACTACAGTAACATAAAAGGAAATAATCATGAAGAATACAATGTAATGAATATCCTAAAGATAATAGTGAAATCAAATTAGAGAAATGAAGGAGTATGTCTGTTAATGAATAAAGAGTGATGTGAAGCAAGAAGTAAAATCTCTTATTACAGTTCAAGGTGTTTGTGTGTAAAATGACTGAAGTGAGAAACACAGTTTTCCTCCCAGAAAGTTAAGAGGTCAACCTTTCTGGTGGCTTTTACTCTTAATTTGGGTGATCAAAGTATCCCCTACTCTCTTGCACATCTTACAGTGGACAAGGTTTTGGCCTCTGGTCTTCTGTAGATTGTCTATGATTTTGGAAGGGCTTGATATGACATGTAAACCCATTACTGTAGTACAATAGCCATAATCAGGCAGCCTGGAGCAAGCTCATGCCTGCACCATTGGTCAGTCCTGGCACTGATGTTGTGCAAACATTGTGTATTAGCTCTCCAGGTCATCCTCTGTTGTGGAGAGTCTATGCTTTTCAGTTAAATGCTACCATCTTTTGGACTTTGTCCTGCAGGGGGTCATTTGCATGTGTTCCTGGTCTTTCTTTTAGTATTTACTTCTTGTACGTGTATTATTCCCAGCTTGGAGTATGGACGTTGCCTTTTTTGCTCTCTAAGCTGCTTGCACTTAGGATTCCCTTCCTTGAGTGCTTGTTTACATTGCACCTGCACTGACAGAGTTAATTCTCTGGTGTGTTCAGGAGTTTGCCCTCGAGAGGCCTGACCACTGGGCAGTTCATGAGCCATTGACTCCTCTGTGTAAGCCCTGGGTTCTGGGCTTTCTTTTGGTTCTGAGTGGGGTGCACTAGGGCACACGTGAACTCTATTTACATGGTATGCTGCAGACATCATTTATATGTTACAGGCTGCATTCAGTGTCAGTTCTTTTGGTGAGCATCCCTAGTGGCCTGGTGTCCTGCTTGGCTAGCTGCCTTCAGACCCTGATAATTACCCCTGCATATCTACAGCATGGATCAACCTGTCAAGTCCGCACACTATGTTCTGCTACTGGCAAAGGATCATTCTCTCTGTCTCTGCCATGCTGTCTGTTGGATCAGTGACACCTATTACCCAGAATCCTGCAATAGTGGACCTCTGTTCTCTGAACCTGCTTCACATCAGGAAGCCTATCTGGCAACTGCCAACTAACGAACTAGGTTTGCCCCACCTTTAGCTTTTATAGCATGGTGCTCACTTGGATTCTCTGGAGTTGGCTCCTTTGGTGTTTAGGGACCCAGAATTGGAGGTACAGAATTTATAACTGCACCTTTTCTTCCTTTTTCTGCGGGGGGTGGTTGTCCTCCTGGTCTTTCACCCGGATTCTGGCTCCGAAGCATCTCAGAGTTTCAGAGTCAGGGCGGGGTTTAGCTCAGGATATAGCTCAGCTTTTGCCTGGGATGGTCCTATCCATTTCGACAGTGGAGGTAGTTGAGCCATCTCCTCCCACTGGGGATGCGGAGTCTTCAGCTTCACAACTGCTTACCGGTTCCAATTCTCCTCCTTGGGACGACGCCTTTCTGTCCTATGCATTGGGCAAGGAACATGGCTCTGCTGCAAGGCAGATCCATAGGTGTTCTTTAGTCCTTCCTGCAAGTTGGTGCCTTCTCCAAAAGTTATTTTGCTTTAGGGGATCAATTTTTCGTACCCCTCGTCGATGTATGAGTTTGAATACTCTGTATCTCCCCCAGGATTTAGTTCCATGTGATGTTCAGCACCTCAGATTAGTCTTATTTCTAGAGGTTTCCATGGTCCTGCATTTCTCTATATGTGGCTCATGCAGACCTTTTTAGGTACCTCATGCAGATTTTGAACCTTGATTCAGTGATGACCTGACTTCATTCAATTACAGGTCTGCCTCAGCTTATTGGGTGCATTATGAGGTTCCAAATCCATCCTGGCTGGCTAACAATCCTCTTTTCCTTGGGCTTGGCATGGGTTCTGTTGAACCCGAATGTTTCAATGGCGGTAAGACAGTTCCATCTTTCCGGTGTTCTAGGGTAGGACTTTCTATGTTCAAGATCTTCCTGTTTGAATTTTCATTTTCACCATTTTCAGAATCTCTTTAAAATTCATCCATGGAATATTATAATAAAAAACTGTTCATACACAAATTGGAATATAAAGCAGTTTTATGTCTCCCATATATCTCAAAGTGTACATAAATGAGCGAATAAATATTTGTAGACATGCTATTTAATGACTCCTGGACTTAATAATAAGTATTATTAATTATATGAGCTAGGTATAGAGGCTCGAGGTTTTAAATATGCCAAAATTAATACAATATATGGAAGAAAAAAGGTGATATGATTACCACATTCAGATGGTTTATTAAATTCCAGTTGCCTCTTATGAACTTCGTTATATTATAAACATATTGTACTACAGTACTGTACATGTGTTTATACTGAAGAAACTTCTTGAAATATGGCTGATATAACCACCAGCACAATTGTTCAACAGACTTAAATTTTAGTCACTGTATGGGGGCATAACAGCTGAGTGGACAGCACTTTGGATTTGTTGTCCACAGGTTCCGGGTTCGAATCCCGGTGGAGGCGGAAACTAATGGCTAGAGTTTCTTTCACCCTGATGCCCGTTACCTAGCAGTAAATAGGTACCTGGGGGTTAGACAGCTGCTACGGGCTGCTTCCTGGGGGTGTGTAATGAAAAGGAGGCCTGGTTCGAGGACTGGGCCGCGAGGACGCTAAGCCCCGAAATCGTCTAAGATACTGTAACCTCAAGAAGATACTGTATAGGCTATTCTTTGAAGGAAGGCATCCTGTAGCATTGTTGTGCTAAGTTGGGATTAGCATAGGTTAGATCTGTGATTTTGGCTATTACACATAGTTCATACATAGTCTTGGCCCCCTATGGTGCCAGATATCTTCAGTAATACAAATATACTTTTGGTGATTATGCCTAAAGTTTGTTTCAGTAAGTACATATCCTCATTGGCAAGCCAGTACAACACACATCATGCACAAAATACATGAATAATTTTAACACTTTGGGGGATTATCTGAAAAATGTTGCCGGGTTCAGTTTGATCACCATGGGGGGTTTGATCACCATGGGGTTTGAGGGGGCCTCATAGCCAGGTGGATAGCGCGCAGGACTCGTAATTCTGTGGCGCGGGTTCGATTCCCGCACGAGGCAGAAACAAATGGGCAAAGTTTCTTTCACCCTGAATGCCCCTGTTACCTAGCAGTAAATAGGTACCTGGGTGTTAGTCAGCTGTCACGGGCTGCTTCCTGGGGGTGGAGGCCTGCTCGAGGACCGGGCCGCGGGGACACTAAAAAGCCCCGAAATCATCTCAAGATAACCTCAAGATAGATAACCATGTACATTGTTTTTTCTCCAGATTGATATGGATATGGTTGGTTATCAGATAAAGATATATTCTACATGTTTATGCCATTGCAACTACAGTATGTAGAAAATTGGTAAAATACCCATTATTTTGAGATGCAGCATTCGGACACTGGCTAGAGGTGTTAATATGCCAAAGATTGAAGATAGAAGAAAAAGATGTGATATAATCACTACATATAAAATAGTAACAGGAATCGACAAAATTGACCAAGAAGAAGTCTTAAAACCTGAAAGTTCAAAAACAAGAGGTCATAGATTCAAGTTAAGGAAACAAATGTGCTAAAAAATATTAGAAAATTGTTTTATCCCAAAGAGAGCAGTAGATGGCTGGAACAAATTAAGTGAGGAGGCGGTGGATGCCAGAATCAGTTGTTTCAAAGCATCATATGACAATGAGTACTGCGTAGATGGGATACTTTGAGCATAGCTCTCATTCTGTAACTACACTTAGGTAATTACAAGGACACTCTGGTCATCTTTGCTCAATGGTTATGGCATGTATGGTTTTCCATTCTAGTGTTATTTTTATAAGACCACATTCCCTCTTTCAATTCAGACCATAACTTTTGCAATAAAGCTAATATTAGTATATTTTTTGGTACACTAAAAATGTCAACTTTGTGTCTAAAGACAGGGAACTTTCCCTACACAGATACAGTACACACTCACAGTTGCGAGAGGGGGCCTTGCGACTGAGTGGATAGTGCTCGGGGGGGGCGTAGTCCTTACGGCTCGGGTTCGACTCCCATCGGAGGTGGAAATAAATGGGCAAAGTTTCTTTCACCCTGATGCGCTTGTTCACCTAGCAGTAAATAAGTACCTGGGTGTTAGACAGCTGCTATGGGCTGCTTCATGGGGATGTGTGAGTGTGTTAGAGAAAAATATATGTAGTAGATACAGTATAATAGAGGAAAAATAGAGTGGTAAGAAAGGCGGAGAGCTAATAGCTCGATTCTGCAAGCACAAATAGTAAAACACACACACACACACAAACACACACTCACTCACTCACTCACTCACTCACTCACTCACTCACTCACTCACTCACTCACTCACTCACTCACTCACTCCTCACTCTGTTGTGAAGTCTGACCATGGTGTACAGGAAGTACTAGCACACGAGCCACCAGTGTACACCCACCAGTCAATACTCGCTCCCAACCTGGATCAAAACAGAAGGGCAACAAAAAACCCTGACTCGCCCAAGGTGAGGGCCAACCCAAGCATGATGGACCTCTAAGGGAGCAAAATCCTGAATACACCATAGAACTATGTCAGTGCAGAGGCAACAGTAGTGAGCCTTCACGGAAGGTAACCCTGAGCACAATAATAATTATGTGCTCAGGGTTACCTTTCGTGAGTGCTTTCTGCTGCTCTGCATGCAACTCTTAGCACTCTAAAAGCCAGGCCCAAGCTGTATCTGTCAATTTTACTGTTGTATGTTGACAACGGTAAAATAATTGACAGAGCTGCAATAGAAGAATGGACATTGGGGAGGCATTACACATCAAACATACTTTTCTAACTATTAACAGCCTGCTAACACCAGGTTACACTTTATCATCTTCAAGAAGACAATGAAACATCCAGCATATTTCCCCAGACATCGTTGAAACATAAGAGATTGGTAGGCTTCAGTAGGCCTATTGACCCATCATTAGGGTCCTAACCTCACCCACGGTTTTATATTTGGCTACTCTAAACTAGTAGACCCAGCACATTGTACTCTGCCTTTGAAAATGTCAATGAAACGTATCTCTTAGCATCGGGCCATAATAAAACCGTAAAATGAACGTTGAAGAGTTAATTTTTCAACTTTCTTCTCGAGAAAGAGAAGAACTTTCTTCTTCTTTTTACATATATATATATATATATATATATATATATATATATATATATATATATATATATATATATATATATATATATATATATATATATATATATATATATATATATATATATATAATATATATATAATATATATGTAATATATATATATATAATATATATATATATATATATATATATATATATATATATATATATATATATATATATATATATATATATATATATATATATATATATATATATATATATATATATATACACACACAAACATTAAGACATTCAATAACTCTTTTGGAGATGCTAAACAAATTACATGTCAGTTTAAATACCCAACTAAGAGTCTACAATGTTGTGCAGGAAATTGAAATACACGAGTTTTACATGTTATTCTGTCTTGAATGTCCTAGGGAGGTGAGTAAAAATCAGAATTTGAAGCCTAATGTTCCTCCTGAATCTCTTAGATAAATTACAGATGTGGCCGCCATATTTCAACTCTATTTGTGCGGTGTCTGGTGTAGTGGATAACATGCTTAACTCTTATCTGCTGGTTGAGAGTTCAAGTCTCCACAGAACTCGTGTATTTCAGGTAAAAAAGAATGTTATTGTCATTATCTTTGATTTCTAATGTTTCAGAAAATTTGCAAGATGACTCCCAGATTTACCATCGGTGACTGTGCGGGTGGGCATCGGGCAGACAACCGAGTCAAGAATCGTAATGTTCTATGTGTTCCCCGTCAGTATAATTTGGTTGATTTTGTTCTCTTTTTTTTTTTCCCCCCCCCCCATTGCTCACTGTGCTGGACTGAATAACTACCCAACGAGTGGCCTGTTTGTTGGCAGTAATATCAAATCACATTGTAACAGTGACGAAGGCTTTAGCTCAAGAAAGTCTTAAATTTTCTAGCATTTGAATACAGTATACAGTCGACTCCTGGTTCTGCTTGAGGTGATTAAACATATTCCACCTCTATATGAGGTTAATATTTTTACCATTTATCAGTTTAACGTGCTCAACATTAAGTTGTACATGAGTTTGTGAGCTGATGGGAGTTGCTGGTACCAATAATGTCCCGAAACATTTTCATTAACTAGAAAAAATAATGCATAAATTTTAAATTTCATAAGTTTTACCCTATTTACTTTTAGGAATTTGTTTGTGCTCATAACCAATAAACTTCGACTGTTTAACATCAGAATTAATTGCAATGTGTTACTATGTAATGTGTTAATAAACCTCAAAATTTTACAGAGAAACATTATATTCATTAAATTGTGTTACAGTATATTGACAGTACATAAATTATGTCAATTTTGTTTAAATACATATCTTGATCCTGGAATGTATCCTATTTTGTCCATAGGATATCTAACAAATTATGAGATATCTGGGAATGCATTCCTGTATAGAATCAGAAGATAAATGTGCTTTTTATGTACATGTGGAGGTCTATCTGTTCAAGGGGATGCTTTCCTAGCAAACCTCATACAAGTTGAATTTCCAATGATCATAGTTCCCCAACCAACTTTTTGCTTGTATTGGCTTTATCAGAGAAAGACGATAGAGCTCTTACAGACAAAACATCAACCAGGAAATGCAACCCTCACGTGTGAAATTAAAGTTACAATATTTCGGTCTGTCCTGGACCCAGATCAAGTCATCGCGAATTAATTAAGGTCCAGGATGAACCAAAATGTCATAATTTGAATTTCATGCACGAGTTGGGTTATTTCAACCACGTTATTGTGCCTTACTCTCTGCATTATCAACATTTAAAGTCTTATCTCTACTGGGTGTTTCCCCTACATTATTGTCGACACTTTCTGCTCTGTTCTAGAAGAAGGCACACAGAAGAGTTTTGAATGATAAATTGAATCAAATATTATGTATCTACTACAGAAATAATATGTGCATCCTCATAATGAACAACAGGCCTAGCCATGCATAATAACTCACTCAAGAAAACTAATGTAAGTTATGAATTTTCTTGCACAGATAAAGATTGTAAACTTGGTATTAACATAAGAAACAGTTGTTATACTACAACTTCCTTAACCTTACCAAGGGATACTGTACTTTCTCTAGATATTTCTGTGTAAGACCAGCATGTGAGCATATACCATTCCTGGATGGTAGAATAGATGGGGAAACTATAGAGCAATTCAGCAGATACGATTCAGTCAATAGCTGTCAGAGGTCTCTGGAGAAAGAGTGACCATGTTATAGAAAATTATTTAGGCTTACAGAGCCTCTTTGGAAAGAGTATGTTCCATGTTGCTGCATTACCTGATGAGCCCAGTGGTAGAAAAAATATTCAATATACAGGCAATCCCCAACTTTCAAATGGGATGCGTGCTGGAAAGGCATTCGTAAGCCGACTACAGATTTCGGAACCACATTTTCCAAAGGTATATTGCTATCAATGAATAATGTGCTACTGGACCATCAAAATTCGACATACAAAACAAATTTGTGGGACAAATAATATTAGAAGTACTGTTTTTTTTATTTACCTTGAGTGATTGAATTGCTCTGCTTGTCTGACTTGATGCTTTTTGATGAGTGAAGAGGTATAATAAATAGTTGAAGAGGAAGTAAAAGGTGATGATGCATGGGCACTCTGGCATCATTATCACACTTCCTTTTTTTATCGGCCATAATCAGATAGGTACTTACCTAAGGTAAAAAAACTTAGGTAATTGCCTACCTGTACCCGTTGGTTGTACACCTGCACATCAGTTAATTGGCAGTCGAGAGGAGGGGACCAAAGAGCCGAAGCTCAAACCCCCACAAGCACAACTTGGCGAGTACAATTAGGTGAATTCCTATGCCAACAAAAACCAGCAATTCTCCGTCTGATGGAATGTGGAGGGTGGGGAGAGGCTACACACACACGATTAGGAAAACTACTCTACATCACACTAAAATAGGCAATCTCTCCCATCCAAAACGTGGCATACTTGCAGACACCGACTTAAAAGTTAAATCAACATTGTCATAAATACATGTACATAGTAATAAAACAAGCTGACATTTAATAAAGATATAAAAGTATTGAAAGTAATACAAATACAAGCTATACATTTCATAACACAGGCAGTTTATAAATAAAATTAACATTTCTATAATGACCAGACCACACACTAGAATGTGAAGGGACGACGGCATTTCGGTCCGTCCTGGACCATTCTCAAGTCGACTGACACAATCGACTTGAGAATGGTCCAGGATGGACCGAAATGTCGTCGTCCCTTCACATTCTAGTGTGTGGTCTGGTCATCATACTTTAGCCACGTTATTGAGACTCATCGCCTGCAACATTGCCATAATTAAAAATAAAATATGAAACAGATGTTTAACAAATATATAACAAAACGTTGAAGCTAACATAAATACAACAAAACTTTGAAACCAACATAAATAAAAGTTAGAAATTACATTGGTTATGATTTGGTTGTGTATGGAATTGATTGGAGCTTTGAAAGAGCCTTGTTCTTTTTGCATTGTCAGGCACCTTGAAAGAGATGCTGTCATCTTGCCTAGATATTGATATGATATTGACTGATGGTCTCCAAGTTGGCGTGTTATCAGTTTCTAATCTTGTGTTGTTTTTTGTGATTTCGGAAATTTTAATGTGAAGATTTACGAATATGAATACACCTGTTGTGTCAGTAACTGCAGCAACAACATGCATATTTCTGGGATATTAATCGTATCATTAAAGAAGTAAAAAATATTAGGAGACAGTTTGTAGAGTCGGCAGTTATCAAACACTATATCTTTTGAACAGAATTAAAGCAAATTCAACAGTGCGATCCCTTCTTGCTAAATTATCCCCTTGTATTATGCAAGGTTATATGAAGCATTATCTGTATGCTCACAGAGAATGTATTTAAATCAAGGACTTTGTGTTCCTTTGTTAAAAACCGTGTCTTGAGCATAGGAACAATGCGTAAAATTTTTTAAGTCCATTTTTCAAGATGGCAGATATTTACTGGAGCTCTCAAATACTAACTGGGAACACCTTGTACCAGCAGGAGTTTCAAATATTGCAAAATATCTGAAACATCATGTGATGGCATGTGCAGCACAACAGTTAATACTTGAATGGTAATTATAGCACATAATGTTACTTGTTTCTCACTTTGAAGCATCTTCACTTCATCCCACTTTACACCCACCTTCGCTTCACCTACTTTCACCTCACTCCACATCCCCTTCATACCACATTTCATCTTGCTCCACTTTCATTTTACTCCATATTCCCTTCATCAAAATTCACATCACACACCATTTCATTTCACCCCTCCTGTACCTCACTCACACCTTCACCCCACCTGACCTGTAATTACCTTAGTGTAGTTAAAAAGAGGAGAGCTATGCTCACGGAGTCCCATCTTCCCATTACTCTGTGATATGATGCTTTGAAACTACTGACGTCTTTGGCATCTGTACCATTCATACTTATTACAACCATCTTCCACTTTGCTCAAGAGAATTTTATAATATAATTTTGGCACCTTTGTTTCCTTAGCTTGAATCTGTGACCATATGTTCTTGAAGCTGCAGGTGGGAAGAATGCCTCTTTGTCAGTTTTATTGATTCCTGTTATTATTTTGTAGGTAGTGATCTTATTGCCTCTTATCTTCTAGCTTTGTCATATTAAACACCTCTAGCCTCTTCGGGGTATATTCCAATTTACTGTATATTCCAATTTTGGTCTCACAAGAGTGATAAATAATTTATTTAGTATTTCTCTGACCATATATTTAAAGTGATTCTAACATTAGAATGCAAAGCCTAGTCACATCACACAATGTGCTTTACGTGGTCCTCTGGTGACAGTTTACTGTTACTAGAGAACCACCCCCTAGATCACTTGTTTTTTCTGTCAGAAAATGTTTCACCCATGTCAAAAGTTTTTCTGTCACCCCTCCAGTATGTTCCAGTGCCTTTCATTTCACCTGTGTCTGACCCACCTTCGCCTGACTCTAACTGTCTCTCATCCACTTTCACCTAATTCTACTTGGGTCTCAACCATCTTCACCTAACACCACGTGTCTCACCCCCTATCCTTCACCTAACTCTACCACCTCAACCCCCGCCATCTGCACCCCATCCCCACTTGTGAAAGTGTACTCAGGTGTACATCCTGAGTGTACTGAGTGATATACTTGGTGGGTGTATACACCCACTCAGGTTGTATGCCCATTACACCACCTGAGCCTTGCCTCGAACATTTCCCTCAGTGCCCCCACACATTCACCTCATATCATGTGTGTCATCATCTCTCCATTTTCATTCAGCTTCACGTCACTCCATGTGTGCTTCCCCTTCACCTCATGTGTGGCCAAAACTGTCAATAATTTCCAAGCATCATATGACAAGAGTACTGGGTAGACAGGACACCATGCGCATAGTTCTTATCCTGAAATTACATTTAGGTAATTACATTCATCTTTACCTCACTCTAGATGTGCATCCCCTTTGTACTGGGTAGACAGGACGCCATGCGCACAGTTCTTATCCTGTGATTACATTTAGGTAATTACATTCATCTTTACCTCACTCTAAATGTGCATCCCCTTTCACTTTACATGTACCTCCACCTTGCACCTCACCCATCCTGTGCCTTTTACCCAATCTTCACCTCACCCCACAGGTGGGGGGTGTGGTGAAGATTGGGAGAGGGTTGAACATGTGGCCTCAACCCCCCCCCCCCCCCCCCATGTTCACTTCACTCCACCTGTGCCTCACCCCACCTTTCTCACTGACCTTACCTTCTTTCCCTTTTCTCTTTACAGTACAGTAAAGATGAATAACGATTATACCTCCATCTTTCAGAAGGCATATAATATTTTAGGCTTTATTAGTGCATCTCTGTTAATTACACAATATAATCTAGGTTGTATATATCCTATATACACTAGATTACATATATCCTATATACACTAGATTGTATATATATCTTTTACACTTAAACTTTCATCTACCAATAAAAAAATGTTCTCATTTTGGTGTTTATCTACTTCCTTTTAGCATCATGGCCTCCTCAGAGGTATTTAATGGAAGAGCTAAATGCATTATTGCCATCTACTGATCTTAAGCTGGATCATTATCAAGCAACATTGAAAGCTGCACCTCATACTGTTGAACCCCTTCCCTATAAGTTAGGTCTTGTCAAAGGGGGACCGTTGACAAGATGCTGGCTTCCTGTCCTTGTTGAGGCCACTAGTGTTAAGTGGCCCCTCTAACACTCTAGTGGCCTCAACAAGAACAGGATGCTGGCATTTTGTCAAAGATGCCAGCTTCCTGCCCTGATGATTTTTTTCTGGCTGGATTTTAAAATTTAAGAGTTTGAGCATTTACGGCTTTGGCAGGTAGGCGGTTCCATGGGTATATAACCCTGTGGGTAAAAAATCATCTTCTGTTTTCAGTCCTACATTGTGGCCTGTGATAAGTGATAAGTGCACTTATTATTGTGATAAGTGCACACACTTGTCAAAAGAAGAAAGAAAAAATTATCTAATAAATACTTTTCTGTTTCTATTACTTCTAAAGACTCTGTTTCTCCTTGAGTTACCCACGTGGCGGCCTCCAAACCAGATACCACTCCTGGCTCTTAATGAATCATGATTGCCTACTGGAAGCCGTGACCAGAGTCTGGCCCCCTCGATAGACACATAGGAAAGTGATGATACTAGATTGACAACATTACTGAACAGAAAACCACCAGAAAGACAGAATGCTCTAAAACAAGAAATTGCTAAGACAACATTTGCAATCCTAATTAGAACTATGCACACACACTTGTTGTAAAAGTTGAGTCACCTAGTTAGCTCAACACCCTCACAACTAGATAGCAACCCAAGGATTTGGGGCAACTACCCATTCTTCATGCACTACCCAAGCAGGACTTCCTGAACACCAAGGAAAGAAGGGAAGGGTTGGAATAGGGGAGATGCACATTATATTCGAAGGCAGTTTTTATTTTTGTGGAAGGGTGAAGCACAACACCAAATTTGATCGAGTAGGATTTTGAACTTTATTTCCCTGTGATCTGCATATGTACGGTAATTTACTTTTTAACCTAAGTTTATAGGAATTAAATATTTCTATTTAATTACTGAATCTAATTTGCTTCTTCTAGTATTTCTCAGTCTTCTATGGCTAAAATATAGCACCTAAAATTTTTAAACTTTTCTTGAACTCATCATATTTTTTCTACCAATTCACAAGAAAAATTACTAAAACAATACCAAAGTTAGAAGGGTTATGTATGAGGGTGGGTCGACTCAAATTTGGCCAAGTAGAATTGAGTTTGGTCTTCTCTGTTTACGTTTATAGTATTGCCACATGTAGAATACCATCAGATAGAATCAGGATCTGACTGTATTGTGTATAACTGGCCTAATGTGAATTATAACTTCATACTCTCTCAAAAGTATTATTACAAAAGTCAATACAGAATTATGGGGTTTTCTCCAGCACAGTTTATTCTCATCATCAGATCACTTTATCTAGGTATGAGAGCTGTGATAGCAAAAAAAGCCTATAGTTAGTTATTTGATTCTAAATCGAGTTTAGTTTTAACATCAGTTCTGTGTTGTTTTAAATGCTATGAATGTGGAAGACATCTGTGTTCCTCTCAATCCCCACCTTAATGTCTCCTTTCTGTTCAGAAATATCTTTATTTAGACTGCTTCTTATTTCACCTAGAAAAGCTTCATCCAAGCATTCCTTGAATTGGAAATAAATAAATATATATATATCTATCTCTCTCTCTCTCTCTCAATCAATCACAAATAACAAAACTCCGACATGGGATGCAATGAAAGTTATAACATTTCAGTCCAACGTAGACTCTTATCAAGTCGTGACATAACAATAGTGTGAGATTGAGTCAATATAATATATATATATATATTATTTTTTGACTCCCTATTCCATTCTTGCCTTGTCACGACCTGATAAAGGTCCAAGACTGACCAAAACATTGTCACTTTCATTTCATCTATGTAGGTCGGGTTATTTGTGTATTGTGTCACAGTATATATTGTGTATATTGTGTATATTTAGTATCATAGCCTGTTCTTTATATAGTCAAACTTTCATATTTTTTAGTCCTTTAAGATTGTTAAATTATGTGGAATATTAAAGCTTGCAAATTAAAGACTATTTTAATTCTTATATATTTGTTATGCATTTTCATCTCTTTCACAGCTGACAACTTCAGACCATACATCACGTCATTCCAAGGCAATACCAACACTGATTATATTAATGCAGTTTGTGTTGACGTGAGTATTGGAAGCTATTTTAATTCATATGATCAATAATATTGTAATATGATAAATAATGTGTTGCATTTGTTTTGTTTTAGAAACTTTATAACTTATGCTTCTGAGAAAATACTAGATAGCATTACGTCTACAAAAGTGCAATATATTAAGTGATTTATTATTTAATTCATAAATATGCAAACAAAATTCTCAGATACATTTCTGCTTACCTTTAATTATCTTGAGATATCGACAGAGCCAGTTTTGAACCTCAGCCCAATACCACAATAAAAGTCCTTGTTTGATGATCCTGTTCCTAAGTGCATGTTTTTTTATGCCTGTGATCTGTGATATATGAATATTTTGATCTTGAATAAGAATTTTGCATCTAATATTTTTTTAATTTAAAGTTAACTTGTTTGGTGTTTTGAACCATGCCTTTGTGTTTCATCATACTTGAGAATATGAGATTGAGAAAACAAAGAATGCACTTGACCTTAGATTTAAAAATTTAAACTCTGCAAGTCCTTTTGTATGTCAACACCTCAATTTCCCGACCTTTTAACCTTATCTTGCCCCCCTGCCTTTTTCCGTATGTGTTTTGTTGCGGCTCCAAAGGGGTACTTGAGGCCTCGTGAATATATAGTGTCCGAGTGGCCCCTGAAGTCTACTATCGGTGATTTTTGGTCTCTTGTGTATGACCACGAGGTGACCTCCGTCGTAGTCTTGTGCAACCCCTCACCCTTGGAGGCTTCGGTAAGATGCCCATAAAAACCATTGCATTTGGAATGTCAATCTTAAGTCTCGCTATATAATATTTTAGAAAGTGTTTTGATATTGATTTGTTTTATATTAATGAGAGTTGAATCTACAGGAATAGGAGGAATGGATGCACAGGAGGAAAAGTGGTATGTACAAATTTTATCATCAGAACACTTTCTGAACAACAGATTTGTAAAGCAACAGCAGAATAACAGGAAAATTATTGTTCAGAATATTAATGTAATTATAATTGTCTATACATTACCGTATTATACAGGTAACAGTTAAAACTTAGTTATGATGTAACTCAAGATATTTTTATTTTGGTTTGCCTGTGTCACATGATATTTTTTCCTGATTTGTTCAGCTGCTGACGGCTTTACCTAAAAGTCCTCTAATCCTGGCAGAACTTCTTTACCCAGGATACCGAGATCCACTGACTTCCAGTTTCCGACCTATTGTACAGCTAGAGTGTTTACAATTTATCTTGTGAGCTTTGGATACGTATTCCTTTTAGAATTTAAGGTTGCTTGCTTTGAAGTACAGGGGTCCTTAATTTTATATTCTATCTTGCCTTGAATGATTGTGAAGCCCAGTACTGTTGGCTCTGTATTGGCATCATCAAATTAAAATTTATTTCTATAGCTTACTGACAAAGCCATTTCAACAAAGTTGTAAGCATTTTAGCTCTGTGATTAATATTCCCTTAGCAAGCCTTCATCCCAGCACCCAAGGTGTTTGGTTCCATCTTTGCAGGGCTACACTCATCCGCGAGAGTACATAGTGACGGAGTGGCCGACATCCCAGACCATTGGAGATCTTTGGTCTCTGGTTTTTGACCACGATTGTACTGCTGTGGTGTTACTATGTAGCCCCACAAATACTGTGGTATGAATGCTCTATATTGTATTATGTTTATTTATGAACATTAATCATTCATTAACATCTTGACATTATTTACATGAATCTTGAAGGGAATGGAGTGAAAATATTTGTGTGTGTTTCAATACCTATTAATATGAAAAAATACTGAGGCCATACAATGGGATCAAACCCATGTCCTTGGACTCCTCAGGCTTCACGTTCCTGTGATTTCATTGTGCACCCATTAATATTATCATCACTCATTTCACATGTGTCTGCCAAATGTTGAATGGTTTAATATTTGCTGAGAAATATATACCCTTCTTCAGATTGTTACATATTATTATTGTTATATCCTACCCTCCCGTGTTATTTCTTTGGAAAAGTGAAGAAAATATCAGAGTACAAAAACTAATGAGTTTCAACGCACTATTTTCCAAACCCCTTTTTGCACATACCCCCCACTGGCAAATCTGGGAAAACAGCATTATGCAACAATGAATCCACATTGATAACATCAATTCTAGTCAATTAAACATTACTTGGGCATGTTTGTCCCAGTAGGCATTGGATGAACACTCATTCTTGCTGGCAGAAGTTTAATGTTCTTAATTTAAAGTTAAGAAGTGTTTGACCTGTGAAAAAAAATTTCAACAAGAATTTTTTTTTAAATTTAATTTTACCTTTAATTTTGATTTCTAGTCTAATTATTAATAATTATGATCCATGACTAGAACACATGAGGCACATGAAACTTACCTCCAATATGGTATGGTCAAATTGTATGCAAGACAGTTAAATAAGCTTGTTTTAAGATTGTCAAAACCACATATACACACACACACACACACACACACACATATATATATATATATATATATATATATATGTGTATATATATGTATATATATGTTATATATATATATATATATGTGTATATATATGTTTCCTAATATATATATATATATATATATATATATATATATATATATATATATATATATATATATATATATATATATATATATATATATATATATATATATATATACATACATACATACAATGAAGGTGAAAAACATGGGGGGATACATAAGGGATAAACATAGGGGCTGCAGAAGGCGTATTGGCCCATACGAGGCATCTCCTATCTAAACACAAAGATTAATCCAGTGTAATTGGCCTGTTATGTTGGACATTGTCTTCTGTGTTGGCATCGATATGTTCTTGTCTTGTCCTTACTCTCATGGTGGGTAGAGTAAATAGTTCCGTGATTTGGGTGTTCATGGTAGGTCGCTCTATTCTTATGTGAATTGCCTCAAGAATTTGTAATCTTCTTGAATCTTGGGTTTTGTCTATTATGCAAGTATTCTTGTTCAACATTTCTCTTGTTAGAGTAATGTCATGGGCTTGTCTCATGTGATTCCTAGGGGCACCAGATTGAAGATGGCATGTCAAACGCCTCGTCAGCTTGGTCGACGTCATACCTATGTACTTACATTGAAGGTTACATCCTTCGTGGGGGCAAGTGTACATGTATACAACGCTTGACTGCTGTAGAGGGTTCTCCGTCGGCTTCGGGCTGTTTTTGATAAGGAGTTCGGAAGTCTTCTTGGTTTTGTAGAATATTATCAGGTTTATGTTTTGGTTAGGAGTAGTGCTTTTTACTCCTTTACGGATTATAATATATATATATATATTTTATATATTATATATATATATTTTACGGATTATATATATATATATATACGGATTATACGGATTATATATATATATATTATATATATATATATATATATATATATATATATATATATATACGGATTATATATATATATATATATATATATATATATATATATATATATATATATATATATATATATATATATATATATATATATATATATATATATATATATATATATATATATACGGATTATATATATATATATATATATATATATATATATATATATATATATATATATATATATATATATATATATTTTATTAGGTTGCAATGTATTAGTCTGGGTGTTAAGCTTTGTTTGGTGAGGTTAGGTTTTATTAGGTTTGTTTGGGTTGGGTTAGGTTGGACTAGGTTAGATAAAGTTAGGTAAGGTTTAAAATCCATTGGCAAACTGTCTTGTGTATGAAGTGACTTGTATCCTCTTAGATTACTGTATCATTATCATGAAAATGCAGCACACAGCAAATTACAGAATACAGTATATTCTATCTTCCTAAGGCAACATAAATTCATGAGTGTAGCAACTGAAGTTAATAGTTTCTGGTTTTCTTGACATTCATGTTACTTTTCCACTTTTGCTAATGTTTTAGAAAACACAAATGTGTGTTTATATATGTGCAACATTACCTGGTTTCACCCTACGTGATTTCTTTTAAAGCATGTGCTAAGAAATCTACTAGACTATGTTGGGTTGCTGGGCTCTTCAGTGCAGCTGCTACAATGCATTACCGAGTGAGAAGGCAAAAGAAATATATCCGAAACAAACAACTGTCTCTATTTTTAATGTGATGTATTGTTATTCACAAGATTTTCATAATGATTTCAAGTTTTGTACAAATCTTAAAGCTGCACTGAAGTTCAAAAGCACATCCAATAAGGAGAACTGAAAAACCATTTATCCAATACCTTTTTCCAGTGTGAGATTTGGAAGGAGTTAAGACCGTGCCCGCCTTTCATCACGAGCCCTTCGTCTTAAAAATAACTGTCAAGTGATCATCATATTCCAAAATACTATATACAGTACTTTTTAGCATAGATCATATATATATATATACTTTTTATAGACTACTATATACTTTATTATTTTATTAAATAAATATGAATTGGAGCTATTAGTGTTTAATTAAAGTATAATATATAAATTGAGAGCTTTTGACATTTTGTATGCTATATTTACATTATTTCCTCATAACTGTATTCTTTTTAATATAAAATTATGTCAAGATTTTTATCCTATACATCTATACAGTATGCTATTTACGTTTGTTAATTGTATATTCTGATTATAGACGGAAATTTCTCTTAGAAAGCTGTAAACTAATTACTGTATGTATGGCCAGTCATTTGTTGAAGTTATACACAGTCTAAAACTTCATTTATTTTAAATATACTACATTTTAAATGCTGCCTACATTGTTCACCCAATATGTATATAAATACCCTCAAATTAAAGCTGAAACTCTGCATTTTAACCTTGGCATTATTTCATTGCAAATACAATGTGAAGGATTACAGAGCCAATACAACACCATGTAATGTAACTTTCCAAACTGCACTGTAAAGACAGAACTGTATTTCTTAGTACAATAATTGGAGTTTGGATCAAAGGTATGTAGTTATTTAGTGGGAGTGCGTGAGTAGGGTTATTTGACGAGGCAATTTTGGCAGCACTGGATAGACTTGTTATTTACACATCTCATTTTCCAGTTCATTACTTGATTTATGACTTTCAAATTTAGCTTGCTGTTTACTTTAATCATCAAATTCAGAACTCAGATTGGTTACATGAGCTTTAGAAATATTATATTTGATTATTTTGTCGTCATATTTGAGAAAAATGGATAGGAAGAGTTTTTGCAAAATACTTGTCATACATTCTTCTCAATTTCAAAATCAAAATATGCATAGAAAATAAAAATAAAGATTATCAATTAATGTCATTGTTAGCATATATGCATCCAGGTTATGCCTGATAGTCTAGCCTTATGTGGATAATTCTTTTAGCACAGTGGTCTATATCCTCAGCTCACAATCAAAATTGCTGGGTTCAATTCCAGGGTGGGACAGAAATAATTGGGCATGTATTCTTTCATCTGGTAGAAAGTTAGGCAACTGTTGTGGGGTTGCATCCTGGGAAAGGTCAATATTTGGCCAATGGCAGATGTCAATAAGTCTAAGTACAGGCTTCTTATTCCTTACAGTGAGGGTTATTATGTATAGTATACAGTATCACACTGCCAAGTGACTCATAATTGCAGTATATAATAACATAAAGCAAGTAATTTTCTGGGGGGAGCCCTGGAGGCTCCCCGGAGCCTACGGGTCTCACCCAGAAAATGGCATTTCATTATATTCAACGCTGATTTTTTGAGAGCCCAGTCTGTGTAAAGATTAGATATATTAGGTATAAAGGCTATACTGTATACAGTACTACATACCCGTAACTGATAAGCACTGAAAGAAAGATTAATATGCAATACAATTTTTAACCAAGATTGGGCATTTATACATTACTTTCAATTTACAACAAATTCTAAATAACTTCGAGCTTTACAGAATAAAATTGATTATAAATTATTTTACTAATTCTTCACACTTCCTTAAACAGAACTACCCCATGTTTTGGCCAGAAAAACAGAAAACCATGAAATATGGGCCTGTTTTCACCATAGATCATGTAAGCCACCAGCACTACCAAAATATTCGCTCATGGGTGTTCAAAATCACCAAGAAGGTAAAGTAATTTATTAACAACTGTTGACTTTGTGGTTGACATGTTTTGTAGTGTTAAATTTGAGTGTTTTTCTTAAATTGACTGTAACATTAATGCTTTATTTAAATAGTTTATTACTTATGATATGCTCATGATTTTTCTCATTGATATATTACACCAATATGATTTCTTTGTGATCCGAAGGAGAAACAAGTAAGGGGTATGAACACCATTACCCGCAGGCCAGAGTGTAGGCAGGTCCAATATAAAATCCTTGTTCCTGAGTAGTTGTGCAATTGCTTGACGAGTCCAGATCCAGGATTCTGATAATAATAGCAATGGTGTGGCTAAAGTTAGCAATGTGCTAGTATATTAGGAGGCATTTTGCTGAATTAGGTGATGTCGTCAACTGGCTGGCGCATTAATTTCCAGGATATTTTACATACTCCTATTAGTCAGTGTTTGTGATTTTATTATATAATTATCATTTAAGAGTACTGTTGTAACTCTACACACATCTGTTCTGTTAGTTTATCTATTGAGTATTACCCTATTTATGCAGATTGTATCCCTGACGGAACTGATGGCAGGCATCAAGGCAGAGCCCAAGACGTGCCATCTCTTCCAGCTCATGTGTTGGCCACAGGGGCACAAGGTTCCTACCTCCACTAATGCCCTTGTTGAGCTCATGAACATGGTGGAACGATGGAGACAACGCACCGGTTATGGACCTGTAGTGGTGGTCAGCCCGTGAGTATATGTGGACTATTTTAGACATAGTTAAGTTGTTGACCAGACCACACACTAGAAGTTGAAGGGACGACGACGTTTCGCTCCGTCCTGGACCATTCACAATCGACTTGAGAATGGTCCAGGACGGACCGAAACGTTGTCGTCCCTTCAACTTCTAGTGTGTGGTCTGGTCAACATACTTCAGCCACGTTATTGTGACTCATCGCCTGCACATAGTTAAGTTATTCATCCAGAGGATAATTCTATGAGCGTTAATATAAGAGGGAATACGATTTAAATTGTTGTACAGTAATTTATAATAGGAAACACTTTAAAGTTAAATGGCACTTAATAAAAAACAAGAGGGAATTCAAACAAATTGCACGCAATTATTTTGAATTGAGGGCTATAAATAAATGATCTAATGCATACTTTACATATACAGTACTGTATAAAACACACAAAAATGCTCAAGGAGCCAAGGAGGAACAAAGCAGTTGGCCCAGATTGAGTTTCACCTTGGGTTCTGAGAGAATGCATACCTAAGTGAAATTGAAGTGAAATGCATTTCACTTCAATTGATTTTTCAGTCATCTTTGTGTACTGTATCTTGACAGATATACATATATGGAAGAAAACATAATTCCAATCTACAAAAAATGGTAGCAGGGAAGACCTTTGTATTTACAGACCTGTATTGACAAGTGTAGTAGTCAAATCATTTGAAAAATAATTAAACCAATTGGGTAGAACACCTGAAGAGAAATGATATAATAACTGTATTGTTTTCGATCAAGAAGATCCTGAGTAGCAAATCTACTTTGTTGATCTAGAGGACATATGATCCTCTTGATCTTGATATCTTCCCCCTAATAATACAAGAGGGTCATAGGTGATTATGAATTATATTTCATGTTCCTTACATGATATAACTTCTATAATTGTATTGCTTGCATTGAAAGCATTTAAAAAAAACAAATATGTACGTACAGGTGTAACATTTGTGTGTTCTCAGGGATGGCATGAGTCGTGCTGGGGTGTATTGTGCTGCCAATGCTTGCATAGAGCAAGTGATTCAGCACGGTGAGGTAGATGTTTTTCAAGCTGTTCATACGGTTAGACGACACCGCCCTCAACTTACAAACAATATGGTGAGTTGTCATCTATTATGAATACAATTTAAAAGTATATATGTACAAGTATACTCTGTGTGTGTGGATGTAATTACCCCAAGTGTTATTACTTAAGTGTAGTTTCAGGATGAGAGCTACGCTCGTGGTGTCCCGTCTTCCCGATACTCTTTGTCATGTAGTGCTTTAAAACTACTCATGGTTTTGGCATCCACCACCTTCTCACTTAACTTGTTCCAACTGTCAACCATTCTGTTTGCAAAAAAAATTTTGCTTATTTTATTTTGGCAGCTATGTTTTTTTAGCTCTAATGTGAGACCTCTTGTTCTTGAAGCTGCAGTTTTCAAAAATTATTCTTTGTCTATTTTGTAAGTAGTGAGCATATTGTCTCTTTTTCCTCCTACAGCATTTTAGCTTTGGCATTTTTAACTCCTCTTATCTCTCCTCATAGCTCTTGTTTTCAAGTTCCAGGAGTCATTTGGTAGAATGTCTTTGCTCCCTTTCTAATTTGTTTATGTGCTTCTTAGGATATGGGCACAAGACCACTGCTGCATATTCCAGTTTTGGTCTTACAAATTGCATTTTAACGTGGTTCTAAAGTTTGCAAGTGGAACATAGGCTTCTCTCGTAGTGTCCTGTGTGTGATCCTCTGGTAATAGCTTACTATCTGGAATCACCCCTTGATCTCTTTCTTATCAGAAGCTTTTATATCGTTTCACAGAATTTGAAGGTTAAGTTTGGCCGGTTTTTTCTTATTTCTCATTCCATTATGTGACATTTGTTTTTATTGAATTCCATCAACCATGTGTTGTTCCATTTACTTTGATTATCTAAGTCATTTTGAAGGGCAATACTATATAGTCATCTAATTCCCTGACTCCCCTAGCAATTTTGCATCATCTGCAAACATATTCATGGCACTCTGTATTCTCTCCAGTACATCTGTATAAAACAGAATGTCTGCCTGGCTGAAGTAGGCAGCCAGATGCTTGGAGCTAGTCTCGCCAAACTTTTACACATGAAGCATAGGGAATATGTGAGTGTCATAGGCCAGTCGGGGTCAGCCCAAGTGCCATGTCTCAAGAAATACCGGCATTATAGGTGCTGCTCCTGCAATTTTCATGTTTTGAAATAAAATCATGGGTTGTATTGTCAGTAGTTTGATGCTTACTCCCACAGTTTACCTGGTGGAATGAGGGAGGGGGGGAGAGAGAGAGAGAGGAAGGATAGAGGGAGAATATTTTGGAGAGAAAGTGGAGAGGGGAGAAGGGGGGGGGGAGGGGGGAAGGTGGAAGAGAGAGACTGGGAGAGAGGGGTGGATGTTGAAGAAGTGAGAGAAAGGGATGATTGGGGAGATCTGAAGAGAGGTGAGAGAAAGGTGGAGAGAGGGATATTGGGGGAGAGAAAGGGAAGAAAGATGGGAATAGGAGAAGAGAGATGAGAGAGGGTGGATAGCGGAGGGGAACAGTGAACCAGCTGCTTCTGGGTACCCCCATCTAGTCACTAAACTTGTTCCAACCTTCTACAGCTCTTCACACAAGAAGATCTGTATGGTTTTTCTTCCTACACCTTTGTTTCCTTTGCTTGAATCTATGACCTCTTTTTTCCTTGAAGTTGCTGATTTAAAATATTCCTCTTTATCTATTTTTGTTGATTCCTGATAATATTTTTTAAGTAGTTATCGTAAGGCCTCTTTTCCTTCTATCTAATGGTTTGTGTGTGTGTGTGTGTGTGTGTGTGTGTGTGTGTGTGTAATTACCTAAGTGTAATTACCTAAGTGTAGTTACAGGATGAGAGCTACGCTCGTGGTGTCTCGTCTTCCCACTTAACTTATTTTAACCATCTACAACTGTTTGCAAAAGTGAACTTTTTATTGCTTTTTGAGGCATCTTTGTTTCTTTAACTTGAATCTATGACCTCCTGTTTTTGAAGTTACAGGTTTCAAAAACTTCTTTGTGTGTGTGTGTGTGTTAGTGGATTTATATGGTAATGTAGCTTTTCCTAGTTTTGAAATTTAAATTATACTACCAATGGCTTTACAAGTTTTTTCTAGGGCATTTCTATTGAGGCATTGTTGAGGCATTTTCAACAATGATTTTTTCCCCCAGACATTAATATTAAATAGAAAAGAAGCTATGGTCACTATAATTTAATGAATTTACCAAAAAATAAATGCATAATTATATATAATTATCATTTTAATAACAGACTACTGCATTTTAAGCATTTTTATATTGGTATTTTCAGATAACCCTAACTATGCACTCTAAATTAAGTCAATTTCTTGATGTGCATAAAAAATATACAGAGGAACCTTGTGTGACGAGCAGCCCCATCTACGAGCATTTCAAGTAACGAGCGAGCCATTTGCAGTGGCTCGCTCTTTACTTTATCTCGATTGACGAGCTTCCACTCGATTAACAAGAAAACCATGTGGTGCTTCCTATCGTTCCCCTGGTTCTTGCAAATTCTCAGACGCCTCCGACAATGCAAACCAATGAAACTTTTTTTAAAAGATACTAATGATGCTGGGATGTAAAGGGGTGACTCCTGTAATGTTGCAAAGCATTGGTTGATTATTTTTTTTATATAGAAACAATTGAAAAAACGTGGAAAAAGAAGACGAGCTCGGTGCCGGAACGGATTAAATTCGTGAATCGAGGCTCCTCTGTATATATTATTTTTTTTTTTTGTATATCATAAAATATTTTTTCTTATGTAGGGAAAAATAATTATTTTAGTTTGACTGTAGTGAGATGAAGAAATGCTGTAGACATCGTATTCTGAGAAAATTTTCAAGTTAGTTATTGTATTTGTAATAGATTTCTCCTCATCACTAATATCTTCCAGGTCCATAAAAGTTCTTGAAATTTAGCACGGCATCAGTCGTTCCTAGCATGGACATCAGTCAGTGGATGATGATACACCTGATATGGTGGCAATCTAGTATCGAATGATGTCCAGATAGAATTTTTAGGACCTTTGAATATTACAGGGAACATCTAGTCTTCATAGATAACAGGCCCACCAGCCCTTATCATTGAGGGCATTGGCAGCAGTTAAGGGTTAAATAACAAAATATTTCTTAGTGTAAAGTATTTCTTTTCTTAGTTATTTCTTAGTTATTTCTTAGTTATTTCTTAGTTACCGTCTATAAACATAGATGGTAATCTTATTTAAGAAATATTGAAAATACTGTACAGTGCATCTATTTGCTTCAGGTACACGACTGTGTATAATAATAATAATAATAATAATAATAATAATAATATTAATAATAATAATAATAATTCAAAATCAAATGCTAATGTAGCTGCAGGTTGCAAAGATGAGACATAAAACAATCATAATTATATTCCTGCTGCCACACACTAATAGTGTATTTGGAGACTTAACAAGATTTGAACATTCACCAAAGTGAACCTTGTAGCTGGAGTTTTTTTTTTTTTTTATCGAGAGTTCTGTATTGTTTATCTTATGTTTGCTTTTGTATATTTTCTCTCCCACACAGACGGAGTACAAGTATTGCTATGACCTTGTTCTTCACTATGTTCTTCACTTTCTGTCTAAGGAGGTAAAAAAATGAACATTTGAACATCGATTGGAATGAAAACCTTTTAGGACCTGCAACCCCCCCACCCTTGAACCCTTGATGACAAACAGAACTAATTGTGCCAAGTGTTTCACACTAATACAGACAAGTGTTCTGAAACTAATGTAAAGAATTACATTATCCCCAACTGTGACAGTTGCTATAATCCTTATGAAACATATTTATGAAGAGATTCATAGTATTATATATGTGATATAATTCTTTACAGAATAATGAAGAATATGAAGAATTATTACTGGAATGAAAGATAGTTTGGACGCCATAGTACCAAGATATGGCATTGGCAATGCCAGAAGAAGCTGGAAATTGTGGTTTTTTATTGTCTCTGTGTGTCTGACAGTGCTGTAATGGAGCACGGCCATGTTTATCTGTTATTAATGTGGTCTTGGTGTTTGGCTCATGGAGGTTGGTTTGAAAGGGAGGATATATATATATACTGTTTATTTCCTATTTTTATACATGGGTTGCCATTTTGCAGTCACATGATGTGGATAATTGAAACATTAGCAAGAATATAGGCTGAAGTTGAAAACCTTAACTGGTAGACATATCAAGGCATAACAAAAAGTAGATGTAGGGTAATCGGAATATACTACTAAAATCATGTACGTATGGTATGGACATACTTTGGCTCTTCAGTAGCCCATGTAGGATGAAGTATGACAGGTGAAGTTAAATATGTTTCAAGGGAATTAATATAATTCACAAGACAATTCAGTTTTCAATAGCATCCTTTCAATTGCAAAGGCTATTATAGCATCTAAGTTATTGCTTTGAAGCAGATTCCTGGCAGCACAAAACCCTTACATGAAGCAGGTAGCCTGCCATGAATAATGCATGTAATTGAGGCCTACTTATAATTTTGTTGCTGTTGAATTATTTGCAGTTTTTACTTTTTTTGGGAAATAAATATTGTTGAATACATGGGACTGTGTCCTATGTCATACTTTTGTGTAGCGCATATAGCCATAATAGAGTTGCTTCTTATGTAAACCACTGATTTGCTTTAGATTTCACAATGTTAACCATTGACAGGACAGTCTTAGATGTGCAAGTTTTGAGTTTTCTTACAGCTCTGAAATTATGCAATGCTAAGAATCAACTGTGTTGTTGAAGACAATGTTACAAGTTTGGTATATTGTGTTGTATTGTTATGGAACACCCAGGTGGTGGACATTTTACTGTGGCTCTAGAACACAAAAGGAGGACGACTTCTCTGTATAACTTGAGCGGCTCTTCATAAACAGCCTCATTAGAACTAAAAGATTCTGCCTTTTGTGTGCTAGCCTGATTATAGTATTTGCTTGTTTATATAGAAATTTAAAAGATTTTATAGATTTATGCT